GGGCAGTTCTATTTGTGACGATATATATATCGTCAAATAGAACTGCCCTGTAAACCGTAGGCAGAGAGGGAGAAGAGGACAACAAACGAGGGGCTGTGACAAACTGTTTCGTCGGAGTTTCACCGACTCATATATATATTGCCCCGGTATTGGGCCCAACCGGCCGGTTGCCGGTGCAGCCCTGGTTTAATTACAGCACCCTTTCCCTCAGAAAAGTCTCATAATAAATAAATATATCGCCTCAAAGGCTCAAAGGCTCAAAGCAGTTTAGTCCCGCAACTAGCAATTTACAATTTTCATATCCTTTGATGAACAACTCGGAAACAGAACAAGTATGATAGGTTCCAGTTCATACCGATGCCCCTCCTAACTGTGGCCGAAACCAAATGCATACTGTTGCCCCTCCTCGCTGTGACCAGGTAGGCCCGACCATTCAGGCTGGGAAGACCAAGGTAGGTAGGTGTAAGGTTGGTCACATTGGTGGTTTAATATCCACAGGATATCTACATAATGGTCCATAATGAGGGTATACTCTTTCCAATACCTTAAGTCCGAGTTCAGCACCATGACCGCCTTTTCATAGGTTTCTGAATCATTGCCATCAGCGGTGACTTGACGGTTCTTTCCTTATGAAGTTCTATAGGAACCCAATTTTACACGCGGCACTACCAAAGTTCCCATCTCTCTGGGAGACGGTCAACAGGCTTGTGGGACATCTTCAACTGCGACAACTCGCTTGTCACCATCATCTGTGAACAATCTCAACCATGGCAGAGCAAACCTGGCAAGTATTACATTCTGAGAACAAACCTGGCAAGTTTCACCGGCTTTTCAGAATTGCTCACGATTCTGAGAAGTTGAGAACCTGCCACAGGATTCAACGCAGAAATGCCCGGCCATATTGGAAATGCTCTCATCACCAACCCTGCCTTACATATGTCAGGGCTACCGGTCAGTGGTGTCGTGGAAGATTCGGTTGAAATGAGCACTCTATTCATCATCCTTTTTGCTTGTCTTGTTCCCATTGACGTGCCAATAACTCAAGTTTCCCCTCAGGGATGCCTTTCAAATGAAATACAAATACTACGTCAATTTGATACGAACTTTCCCTTCGAAGGTTTGCCTATGCAACCGCTTTGTCCCCAAGCCCTTCTAGACGTTAATTTTCACAACGGGGGCCAGTACCATATATCTTGCATCTAAAGCTTTCATAAAATCAGATTTCGACACTGGAAATTCCGCTAACACACCTCGATCGACTCGAGGTAGGCTAGCGAAGCTATATATATGTTGGATAGGAACATGATTCTAAAATAAGGCCCATATGCTTAATGCGGAAAAAGCTGCTGTATACAAGACCAAATGGTCCACCAAACAGTGAGCTGAAGATTGTTTCCCAGCATTGAAGTCTATAACTTGGCATGTTAGCAGGGCTACAGCAGCCCTTGTCTATACGTTTGATAGGAACAGGATTCTAAAATAAGGCCCA